TATGGAAGTATTTCCTCTGAAAATATTTCTGGGTTGATTGAAGAAGTGGTAAGGGAGTCAGATTAATATGAAGGATGATAGAACTTCATGGCTTAATTGTTCAACTTTCGAGCGGTATTAATATTATGATCAAAATTAAAAAATTAATAGTATGACCAAAATTAGAAATGATAAAAATTAATAATATGAATATTATGATTAAAATTAAAATGATATTAATAGTGACAATAATATTATTAATAACAATAAAATAATAATATTAACGCTATCAAATTTAAAAATAATAACAGTAGTGATAATTTTAATAAAAAATAATATTAATACTATGATCAAAATCAAAAATGATAATAATAGTTATAATAATAATAACAATAACAAATTACTTACTAAATAATTAAAAATATATCGTAAGTGAAATAAAAAGGAGAAATTTACAGAATCATTGAATTGAATGATAAAATTATTATCAATTTATCATTCTTAAAATCAATCAAATATTAAACAATTTGATAAGAAGAGATATGATTTTAAAAAGAAACATAAATCAATATTTATTTCTTTTTCATTTAAAATAATATTTGAATTTTTGTTTTGAAAGGGAAATTCATCGATGAATTTTTTCAATTTAATTCAATATCATTTCATATTTTTTGATATTTAAATTATTGATTTTTTCTTTACTTCTTTACTATTTTTTAACTTTACGATATTTTTACGATATTGCTAAACTTCATTTCAACTTTTCTTTACTAAATATCTTTACTATATTTTAAATGATAATAATTTTACCTCTATCATATCATACTCATTTAGTTTAGCAATATCGCATAAAACAACTTTCAATTCATCTTCATCACTAGAAAGCTCCCCTTCTTCCTCATCTACTATATTTCAAATGATAATTTTACCTCTATCATATCGTGCTCATTAAGTTTAGCAATATCGCGTAAAACATCTTTCAATTCATTTTCATCATGTGAAAGCTCTTCTTCGCCTTCTCCTTCTTCTTCATCCTCTTCTGCTTCATTTTCGCTACGTGAAATATATTTTGTACCATCGAAAATTATAAAAATAACAAAAGAAATGAAAAGATGAAAAATTATTCATTTTATTATAAAAATATTTAGAAATTACATAACTAAAAATAGGAATAGAATAATCGAAATTAAATAATTAAAATGTGAAAGAATATATTATTAAATTTATATTGAGTATATTAATCGTTATCAAAATATTTTCTTCTATTTTGTACTGATATTTGATTGTTCATATTATTTTAAATTTCATGTCATAATGTTAGCAAATGTAATTGATAATAATTTAGGTGATAATCGAAAAATCTATCATTATCATTACAAGATTGATAAATGAGGAGGTAGCGATAAATTAAGAAATACCAATATTTCTAATTTAAATTAGTCAAGAATTATCAACTAGATTTGTGATTATAAAACTTACGAAATTTAATATCATTTGTTGAAGAATGATTATTTGATATATCCTGATCTCTTGCATATCGATTGTAAAGCCTATCCAATCGTTGCTTAACGTTATCATCTGATACGGAACGTTCCTTCAAAAAAATTAATTAATAAACAAATATTTAAATTTAATTTTTCAAATTAAGGTTGGAAATTTTTTTTTAAGAAATATATATATATGAAAAAAGGAAGGGTAAATTTTGAAATTTGCATAAATTCAAATATTAAATGCTATATTTGAAACTGCTTGTAAATTTCAATAAATATAAATAAGTATTTAAATCTAAAGGATTGCTTTCCTATTCATGATTATTTAAATCTTATCACTCCTTATCTGTAGATCAATATAATATCTACAGGAAATGCAATAAATTTAATTAAAACAAAGCAGTGGAATTTAATTGTTTATTATCTTGATAACTTATCAATTCACAAAATTACTACTCTTACTCTATCTTATAAAATAATTTATCTCGACAATACTCATTTCATTTTTCATTGGTACATTTGTTTATATCTTCAATTTAATTTTGAAAAAAAAAAATTCAAATTAATTTTGCAAAATTAAGAAAATGTGAAATACGAAGGTGGAAGAATAATTTATGTACTCTATCGGTTGAGAAACGTGACATAGATTTGTACTCTCGATTTGTTGCATAATTTCGTTCTCGATTAATATAGCTTGGAGTTTGTGAACGATTATAACGTGGTAATGTTCCGTATGATGATACATAACCGGATGTAGAATAATGACTTGACGCATATCTGATAATAATACAATTTAACTAATTCAATTTAAATTCATTTATTACAAAATAATAATTTAAATAATAAAAAATCAATTTGAAATGAATTAACTTAGATTACATTAAATAATATTATATTATAAATTTAAAAATATATCATGATTAATATTAAAATTAAATTTAAATAAAGCATTATTATATATTTATAAAAATTTTATAATAATAATATAATATTTATTATACGAAAAATATTAATATAATAATATATTTGAGTGATACATTATCACTGATAATGTTTTTATCGAAATTTTAATATTATTTTTACCATTATGATAGCATATTTAAGCGATACAATTAGTGATAATGTTTTTATCAAAATTTGATGTGATTTTTATCGTTATGATAATATTTAAAGATACAATTAGTGATAACATATTTAAAATAGTGATAATATATATAATTAGTGATAACATATTCGAATGATACAATTAGTGATAATGTCCTTATCAAGATCTTGATATAATTTTTATCATTTTAACAGTTTAACCTATAAGACTGATCATTATCAATGATCGAACTTTTTCACATATTAATTAATTTCAAAAAAATCTTAAAATGAACTTTCTTTATTTCCTCCTAAAAATAGAAAGTATTTTATAGTATGAAGAAAAATGGAGGAAAATTTTAAGAAAATAAAGCTAACGATGTTCGTCGTTCATATGCAGAAATAGGATGATCATTATCATAACGTCGCAATAATGTTGCACCAATATCATTTAGTTTTGTTCCTAAATATATTAAAACTTTATTTATCTTTGAAAAAAATCAATTAATAATAAATTAATTAATGGTTAATTTCGTAATCTAAATTATATATTGTTTTAGATAATTAATTAATTCCAGAATAATTGACATAAGATTAAATTCAAAAATTCTTCCCTTGTTGTTTTAAAAGAAAATGCAAAATTAAAGATACAAAAATTCTTTTCATAACTATCGTATCGATTATTGTATTAATCAATTAACTGATTAATTATTTATTATCGTATATTATTCGAAAATTTTACAATCACATAGGTTAAGCTTTTCATCTTTTTCGCTTTTTTCCGAGTGAAATTACAAATATTTAATGAATTAATTATTTCGTATCGAATGAAGAAAATTTGTAATTATTTTTAAATTACCTGAACTTATACTACGTTTTGTAGTAAATGTATTGGATGGGAAATTATTAGTATATGATGATTTTCGTTGATTTGATAATGTTGCTAAACCAATTAACTGATTAATTATTTATTACCGTATATTAGTCGAAAGTTTTTCACAATTACATAGGCTAAGTTTTACCTGTATTAAATTCATTAATTTCATTCCCAAAAAAAAAGAATTTCGTATCGAATGAAGAAAACTTGTAATTATTTTCAAATTACCTGAACTTATACTACGTTTTGTAGTAAATGTATTGGATGGAAAATTAGCATTATATGATGATTTTCGTTGATTTGATAATGATGCTAAACGATCAATGCTTCCATACCTGAAAACTTACTAATTAATTAATCACTTTACATTAATTTAATTGGCGTGCATTGATTTTGTTTGTAATTTGCTTCCTTTTTTTTAGCTAAATTTAATTAATTAATGATTAGATTCAATGGAAAACAAAAACAAAAACAAATTAATTGCAGGAATTAAAAGATTTCATTCCATTCTAATTTTAAACAAACAAAACTGTCATTCATTTTCATTTACACGATATATGATTCATATAGTTTAGTTTGCTGATTCATCATTCTTTCTAGAAGGAAAGAATAAAATGAAAATCTAACATAAAAGAGTTGAATCCATTGATCTCTCTCCTTCTCCCTCTCCCACTCTCTCTCTCTCTATTTTCAATAAATTATATACTAAGAAATAAAAAATTTTTTGACGAAAAAATTCTCTTTCTTTCCCTCTCTCCATTTTCGACAAATTATATACTACAAAATAAAAAAATAAAAAAGAATTTTTTCTAAAATTTTTTTCAATTTTTATTTCATGCATTCTTTTCTTACATTTCTTTTCTTACATATTTTATGCATTCTTTTTTCACACATTTCTCACACTTTTTTAAAATCATTTTTATCATATTTTATCTTATTGCTTATCACATATATATTTTTTGAATCCTATAATTTACAATCAATAAAAGTTATTTATCATATTTTATCTTATTGCTTATCACATATGTATATTTTTTGAATGCAATAATTTGCAATCGATAAAAGTTTTCTTTTCATACTTCCTAGAAAATTTTAAAGTGATGTGTTTTTTCGAAGAGGGAGAGGCGAATGTTTAAAGTAAAGTATATTTTTGTTAATCAGAAGATATTTGAAACTCTTCGAAGTGCCACTTTAGCAATTTACATTTCAGTAAAATATTAAATTATATTTTTGAAAGTGACGAAGGAAAAAGAAAAACTTTCATTTCGGAAAAAAATTTTAAATGTGTTTTTTTCTGGTTTTGATCGAAGTCAAAAAATTTTGAAATATTATTTAACTCTTTTTTTATTTCTCTTTTGTTCTAAGCGTTTAGGTAGTAATTAGAAATGATTAATTGTAGTAATTATTGTAATATTTAAAAAATAATGGAAAGTAAAGCACGTTGTGATAAAAACTTAAACTTATCATGGTTAATTATGATAAGCAATAGAAAACAAAATATATTATAGTATAATTTTGAACTTATTATAATTGATTTTTTCTTTGTTCTAATCCTTTAGATAGTAATTTAAAAAATTCTATTAATTATTGTAATATATAAAATTGCAATAGGAAATAACGTGTTATGATTAAAATTTAAACTTATCATGATTAATTATGATAAGCAATAGAAACAATACTATTGCAATAAAATTTTGAAATTATCATAATTGAAAATTTTAAAATATTATTTAACTCTTTGTTTTCTCTTTGATTCTAAACGTTTAGATGGTAATTAAAAAAAATTGCGTTAATTATTGTAATATTTAAAATGGCAATAGAAAATAAAGCATATTATGATAATAATTTAAACTTATCAAAATAAAGTATATTATGATAAAAATTTAAGCTTATCATGATTAATTATGATAAGTTCAAAATTATACTATCAAATAATAATTTATATAATTATTTCTAATATTCGTATCAAAAATTTATAACTTCAAAAAGAAATTTTAAGTGAATATTGAAAATTTATAAGTTAAAGAAATGGATAAAATTTTAAATGAGAAAAAAATGGATGAGTAAAATTTACTACATAAATTTATAAATTCAATACTTAAAATTCATTTATTAATTGTAGAATGATAAATAATTAAATAATTTATAATCATCAAATTGAGTGGATGATTTAAGTGATAACAAATTAGCAAGAATTAATATTAATTTAATTAATTGGCAGGTTTTTTTTTCAACTTTCATCTTTTTCCTTTTTAATTTTCATCCCAAAAATAAAAATATGACAGGGGAAAAAAATTACCTATTCGATGATGTCGTAATATTTTTTGGAAATGATATATCTTGATGATAACTGGATGATAATCCTGAATATTGCTGACGATAAGAATTCATTGTGAAAATTTTCCGCGGATATGATAGTGATGATAATGATGATGTTTGTTGTAATCGATATGGTTCAGCGCTATTGGAACGTTGAAGATGACGTCCGTATGATTTGGAATAATTTGATTGTATATACTGAAATGTACAAAAATAAAAGATAATATCTATTAAATTTAATAATATATTCAAACATTATTATGCTATTATTTCAATAAATAATTTTAGTAAATTTTAAAAAATTAAAAGTTTTAAAATTTTCGCATAATTAATAAAATGAAATATTACTTATATGAAATATATGAGTTTTAGTTGATAATTTATGATATCTTACAGTATTTTTTTGGTCGGAATATGTTTGTCGCATAGAATTTTAAATTAAAGCAATATGAAAATTTTGAAATATCTATTTAATTTAAAAATGCTTACCTATCTGATAAGAAATAATTGGAAATTATATTTAAAAGTTTTGCACTTAATTTAATTATATTTCATTTAGTTAATTAATTCTATTATTGAATTACCTTTACTCGTAAAATTTTTATTTAATGAAATCTTAAAAAATTAGTTAAAAATAAGAAAATAATTTTTTTTTAAAATAATACAATTAACAAATAAACAATGAAGAATATATTATCTATTAAGGTAATTGATAAAAGATGTATAATATTATCTTTTAGAATAATCAGCAAAAATAAAATATACGCTGTTATCAGTTTTAAAGCAATAACAAATGATAACAGATGTAGAATAGAAGTGCTATTTGATGTTAAGTGGTTATCATTATCATTAACAATATCACTAACGATCCTCCTCTATTTTTATATTTCACATTTCATATAAAATTATTGATCATAATAAATAATTCATATAATGCGTAGAATATATGAAATGATGATAATTATTATGGTGATATCTTTCAAGATTTAAATACTAATCATTATTCTTATCATTATATGTTTTACTGTTATTATTATTCATTGATCCTTCAATCTTGCATCGAAGGAAAGTCGATCTTAATGAAGAAAAATTTCTTTCTCAACAATAAATTTAGATTAGTTGAACTAACTAGTTAACCAACTGTTTCATTACAAATTTTTGAAATAGCAAGCTAACACCTGACGATCATTATCATCGTTATCATTATTATCATTAAGAAGATGATGAGGAGAAAATTTAACGAATATAACGATAATAAGAGGATGAAAAATATAAGATATTAAAAGATCTAAAAAATCGTTTGTCAATATTTTCAAACTATAATAATATTTATTGCAATTTTCTTTTCTATATATATTAAATAAGAATTTGCAAGAATTGAAATATATTCGAAATATCTTTCTTTCTTCTCTTCTTTATTTCAACAATTTCTAATTGAGCATTTTATAAAAGTTAGCCTAATTTTAAATTTAAAATTTGTTGAAATAAGAAAACGAAGATTTCACTTAATTAAAATAATTTTTTTTAATTTAATTAATTTTAAATTTAAAATTTGAAATAAAGAAAAGAAGAAAAAAATTCATCAATACCTTATTATTAGTAAATACAATTTTTTTTGATAGATTAAAACAAAAGAATAAAATTAATTATAATGTTATGTCACCGTAGTGAAATGAAAGTTTATAATTTGAAATTTAAATAGTATAGAAATTTAAAATAATTATTTAACAATAATTTCATTGGTTAAATTTCAAGATTTTCATTTCATTTCGTTTTTTAATTTCATTATTTAAATTTCAAACTTTTAATTTGAAATTTAAATGATGAAATTATTGGCCAATAATATTGTGAGCTGATATATTTATTAATTAAAAGCTGATATATTTATTATTTATTAATTATTAATTAAAAAATATTGATTAATCTCCATAAAAATTTGTGATAATAATTTTGTTTGTTTAATATATGTTTTAATTAAAATTTCTAATAATAAAATTGTTAGATATGCTAATAATTAAGTTTTAAATTTTTCTGATATATTAATAATTAATTTTTAAATTAACAAAATTTTGAAAAGAAATAAATTTTAAATAAAAACTTTTTAAGATATTTATTATACGTATAATTGAATGCTAATGAAATTTTCCGATATGATAAATTTTCAAATGGTATATTTAAAGAAGCGGAAAAAAACACTTCTCTTTTATCATTATGGAAATATTATCGTTACCCGATAGTGTTACATGAAAGAGATGATACGATGATACGGTGATATTTATGATACGACGAAAGAGATGATACGATGATACGGTGATATTTATGATACGACGAAAGAGATATTATGATGATACGTGTAATATTTACCGTTATATTTCACACGTTTTTTTTTGGTAATCTCCGATATGATAAATTTTCAAATAATATATTTAAAGAAGCGAAAAAAAAACACTTCTTTTATCATTATGGAAATATTATCAGTTACCCGATAATGTTACATGAAAGAGATGATACGATGATACGTGTAACATTTACCGTTATATTTCGTACGTTTTTTTTTTTTTTGGTACTATTTTAATGTAATTAAAAATTCTGAATAAATTTAATATTGAAATTAAAATTTTTCATATTTTCAATTTGGTAATTTTTAATAGGAATTGAATTATATAATAATAAATAAATTTTTTGGTTAAAAAATTTGTTGAAAATTTTTTAAAAAAGAAAAACAAATAAGAAGAAAAACAAAAATGAACGAAGCATTTGAAAGCGAACAATGCGATAGAAATGAATTACAAATCATTTTTCACTTCTCATTTCACTAACTTGAAATTCAATTTGAAAAATAAAACAAAATATCCTTATCATCAATATCTATTTTTCGCATCATCTAAACATAACAAAGTTGTTAAATGCATGGATACACTTATAATATTATTTTTTTGCAATTATATTATTTTGTTAAAATTTCAAATTGCAAAAAAACAATAGGGTAAATATGCCAATAAAAATGTAAACAATCGTAATAAACAATAAAACAAATATGTCAATAAAAATGTAAACAATCGTAATAAATAATAAAACAAACATGTCAATAAAAATGTAAACAATCATAATAAACAATGAAACAAATATGTCAATAAAAATGTAAACAATCGTAATAAACAATAAGACAAATATATTAACATTTTATTATACTTTATAGGTATAAAAGTAATTTTTGGTTTATAGAGTAATTAATGTAAAAAAGGCGGATAACAATAACAAGAGATTGTGACATATGATGAAGTATATTTATATTTGTATAAATTTGAATAGCTATTAACTATTAGGTAATTTATATTTATATAAATTTAAATAGCTATTAACTGTTAGATAATAATAGTGTTATAAGCTGGAAAATTATACAAATTATATAAATTTAAATAACTATTCTCATATATTTTATGCGAGCAAGAAATATTTATAATATTAATAAATAATGTAGTACTAGAATATTTAATACGTGTAATGTTATTGTTATTGTTATTGTACTCGATCTAATATTTGAAATGAATAATAAATCGAATAAAGGAAAAGTTTAAATTATAAATGATTTCCAATAATTTTTTAATCCAGAAAAGCATTTATAATTGCAGGTAAGGATTTTTTTGATATATTTAATTTCATTTTGTAATGATAAAATTATATTTTGCTATCATACTTCAGTGATAACAGAAATTTCATCATAATCAACTGATCAAATATTTGATAATTATAATTGTTTAATAATTATCATTAATAATTTTCTAATTGTTCATTTAGTAATTGTGATAATGTTTCGAAGGCAAATGTATCGATGAAATTGATTTGAACATAATGAAGTAAAGCAATTAAATATTTTATTAAAACAAATTCAATATTTAATGTACAAACCGTGTGTTGATTGAAATAAGCTGGCATTTTGGTGTTTGTTTGATGAAATCCTTTTTTAATTTAATTGAATGAATAAAACAATGAATTAATCAGCTGATGAATCATAAAATATCCAAATAAAACGATGCAGTACCAAAGTTGTAAATAAATTATCTGAAATAGTTTATAAGTGAAATAGTTATTTTATACTATACTAACTATAATGTATACGAAATAAATTGCAGAATGTATGCAAAGCAAACAAAAAAGTAAAATAAGAAGACAATATTAATTAATTAATTTTTTAATTCTTTTAAAAATTTCATGAAATAAATTTCTAGTGACACAAATATTGCATAAACCAAATACAATCCATTCCTAAAATTTTAGGATAAAATATGTCATTGTTAAAAATAAAGTTAATCACAAATCATTTCGTCATCTTTTTCCGTCAACTTATCGTTTCTTCTACTTTTTGAATATGTCGATTTTTTCTTATTTATACGATTATATTGTGTTACTACGATTACATTGTGACATTTTATGCAACGATAAATTAATTAATTCCCTCTCATTAGAACATTTCATGTATCGATCAATTAATTAAGTAAATCAATCGAACAATTAATTAGTTAATTAAGTGATTGCTTTATTGGTTAATTATATTGTAATTAATAATATCTGGAATTTAAACTTTTTAAAAGAAACATATATAACAAACTGATAAATTTTTATAAATTAATGTCATTGAAAAAAATGCGCATATTGTGGAATTTTCCTTATATCATTTCATATTTTCATTTAGCTAAAAAATTAAAAGAATTATATGAATTATGTCCTAAAATTTTAACACAAATGTATATAAATCATTGATTGATGGTTCAGTTTTTTGTTTCTTTTTTAGCACGTATCATGCTTTTTAGCACGTATCATATAATTCTTTTTATATGAATTATTGAAATTGATAAAATAACAAAAAAACAAAAGAGTGCTAAAATAATGAAGTTACATGAAAGTATGAAAAACATCATGAAAAAGATAAAATACGTGATACGTGCAGTAAGTAATTAACATTATGTCAAATATTAATGAATAAATAAAAATAATTAAAAAGTAATATGATAATGATCATATCGTATATGTACATTCGAATGTTTCTCTATTTGTGTATTTGCGTATGTGTAATATTAATATAATTTAAAAAAGAATTATTAGAAGTTAAAGAAAAAAAAAAAGTATGAGATTCAGATGATGAATTTCAACCAGCTGGTACATATATGTTTGTATATCATCTGGTTGGTTAAATTATAAGGAAAAATGTTTGTGTGTTTGTATATGTTGCATGTATATGGCATATGTTTATATTTTCAAAAACAAAGCAAAAATATAGATAAATGAGAAAGATGGCTGAAGTTGATCTTTTAAAAGATAAATGAAAATTGGAAGGATGAATGAAGTTGGTTAGAAGGCTGTCAGCTTGACAATCGATTATGATAGATGGAATTTGGCTAATCGTAAAAAAAAAAAGAGGAAGGAAGTTTTATGTTATACAAATATTTTGCATAATTAAAATAAAAGGAAAAAATTAGCAAGAAATAAATTTGTTTGCAATAATTGAAATTTTAAAATGTACAAGGAAATATTCTACTCATTTATAATTTGAAAATACTTCACTGAGAAAGTGAAAAAAGTGAATTAAAGAAAATTTGACTTGGAAAATTAGAAATTTTAAAAGCAAATAAAACAAAAAGACTTTACCAATTAATAATTATAAAATAAAAAAAAAAATTAGTGACATCCAGTTTTTCCTTCTCTATTCCAAATATTCAAATTTTTTAAATATTTTTTTGCTAAAATTTTAAAATTACTTTCTTTTTTCAATCGTTCTTTGGAATTTGTGCTTAGTTTGAATTTGATTGAACAAAAATATATTTTCGAAATAACGGTTGAATGTTGGATTCTTTCCTTATTTGACTTGTATATTTTGATCAATTTTATTAAAATACTATTTCAAATATAATTTAAAATAAAAAAATGGAAGCTATATTTGGTATTGTTCATAAAATTAGCATAATTATTACATTACAGTTTTATCTTAACTATAATTTAAAATGCTTAAAAATTATATCAATTCAAGAGAATTATAGTATGATAACTGTTAAAATGATCAAAACTGATTATTAATCCTCTTTTATAATTTAAAATAAAAAGATGGAAGCTATATTTGCTATTGTTCATAAGATTAGTATAATTGTTACATCATAATTTTATCCAAAACTATAATTTAAAATGTTAAAATTATAATAATTCGAGAGAATTGCAAGTATGAGAACTTTGTTGAAATGATCAAAACTGATTATTAATTCTATTTCAAATATAATTTAAAATAAAAAGATGGAAGCTATATTTGCTATTGTTCATAAGATTAGTATAATTGTTACATTATAATTTTATCCAAAACTATAATTTAAAATGTCAAAATTACATCAATTAGAGAAAATTATAGTATGATAATTGTTGAAATAATCATAACTGATTATTATATCATTGTGATTTAAAATTATTTCATTTCGTATTAATTAATAAATCAATTTATGGTAATTATACTATCAAAGAGTTTTCAATTGATAAAATGAGAAGAGTAAATGACGAAATGAGGGAAGAGAAATAACTGAGAGAAAAATTAGCAAAGATGTAAGTCCATTAAATGAGGAAAGCTTTCGTTTTACTTTTAACGGCTATAATTGTAACAATTTTTTGTTCTTTCTTTCTTCTCACATTTCACTAAATCATTAATAGCTAAAACAAAATGCTCCGTGTAAAGTTCGGCAAAATTTGCTAATTGTAGAAAAGAAGAAAATTTTAAAATACGCTTTTTAAATTTTAAAATACGTTTTAAAATTCATATACAAACATATACAACATGTATTCATACACACACACACACACACACACACACATACACACACACACACACACACACACACACACGTGCATAAACTTTTATAATAGAGTTAATGATAATACATTATCTTTATTATTGCCAACAATATAGATACAGGATGCATTTATACACGTCCACCTTTACTTTTATAAGAATAGAGTTAATCTTATAATAGAGTTAATGATAATACATTTTTATTATTGCCAACGATATAGATACAGGATGCATCTACACACGTCCATTCACACAGGTATACACCGCAGCTCTTACATAAATCCATTTACATAAGTATGCATCAACTTCCGTGCAAATCCATCTACATGCATACACATCAATCCTCCGCGTCAGATCCACCCACATGCATGTACAATAGCTCCCACGCAAACTACCAACATGCACGCACACATATCAACAATACATATCAATTCCCGCGTAAATCCATCCAGATTCATAATACATGCATCCATCCACATATATATACGTACATCTACACACACATAACCTATCCATGCATATGTACACTTCTACACGTACACCATATATTTAATGAGAATTGAATAAGCTAATAATATAAGGTAATTGATCTTAATTGTTACAGGAAATCGAAATCAAATAAACAAACATTTCTTCAACATTAAGCTTAATATATTAATTGTGGAACTTTAATGGAAGCAATTTAAAATTAAAACTAAAAATTAAATTAGCATTAGCAAAGTAACAAAAGAAACGAGACATCAGTAACTTGATAGCGTGTACAATTAAATTTAATTAAGAAAAAGATATTGTAATTAATAAGTGAAATAATTCAAAATTTTTATGGTCCATTTCAAAGAAATATTCAAAAGAGAAAATTCAACAAAAAAGAATGTAAATTTAGAGAGAGAAAAAGAAATGGAAATATTTTAAGAGGAAAATGAAAGGAATATATTTGAAGTAAATAATTTCTCACAAATAAATATGAAAGCTTTTAAGGGGTAAAAATGGTAAATAATATTTAATATATAAAAATGTATTAACCAAAATTTAATAGTAAATTGATAAGTTTGTTGACTGTCAACAAAATTGCTTACTTTTACATTATATATTCATTTCAATTTCTTTATTTTGCTTTTATATTTCTTTTATTTATTTTATATTTTGTAATTAAATTAATAAATTTATTGAAAAACAAAAACAATTAATATAATACATTTTTTTTTCTTTGAATTTGAATAAACCAACAAAATTTAATTTTAGTCAAATAAATGAGAATTGAAAATCGTTTTACCGAAAATTAAATGCGAAATAAATATTATTACGATAATTATTACTATTATTTTTATCACTATAATTATTTATTTATTTATTTATTTATTATTATTAAATTATATTATTATTATTTTTATTAAACATTATTGTTTGATTGTTGTTTATTTTTAAATTAATTTTTGTTAATATTTGATTTAAATATTAATTATTAAATATTGACTTCCTTATCTGAAAAAGATTTTCTATTATTTTTTATTTTATAGTTTGTTTTCATTTCAATACTATCAGAATTATTAAATTTTCTTTGTTTCTTTTACATTTTATTCGTTGCTTCTAATTTTCACACCAAACTTTTTAATTTCCTTAAATTATTATTAACCATCTCTTTTATATTTTCAGTAAATTAAATTAATAAATAATAAATACATAGTAAAAATAGATAACAAATAAATAATAAAAATAAATAATGAATAAATAATAAAATAAACAACAAACAACAAATAAATAATAAATAATGAATAAATAATAAAAATAAACAACAAATAATAAATAATAAATAGTAAAAATAAATAATAAATAAATGATAAAAATAAACAATAAATAATAAATAAAAATTAAAATAATAAATAGAATATTAAAATAATAAATAGAAAATTAAAATAATGAATAACTGTCTCAATATAGTTCTAATTTATTATTAATTAAAATAATAATAAATAATGAAATAACTCTCAATATAGTTGAATTCTCCCACCTATCTTATATTTTAAGAAAATTAATTAAAATAATAAATAATGAATAACTACCACAATATAGTTTTTTAATTTTCTTTCTTCAAATCTATTTTTTTTTAATTTCATTTTTTTTAGTAAAAATTTCAAAGACTCAATTTAATGTTATTTATGATTGGTTGAATTGCATTAAAGGAGTAAATGGATGAAATGGAATATTTGTTTGTTGGAAATGTTCATTGGCCATGAACGATGAAAATTGTCGTTTTCCTGCATATTACAACCATTTATATTAAGGCATAAATATTTCTCATATATTTTGCTCCCTTTTCCTATCTATTTTAGGATTTAGCCACTTGGCTAAAATCTAAATAAATTTAATTGGTGTTATTCTCAAATAAAATTTCGTTTTAACTTTTTTTTTCCAATTTCATTTTTATCCTAATTTATTTTATATTATATTTTATTTTAATACTTTAAAACTTATCGATACTGAAAAGAAATTAGAAATTGATGAGAGATATATATATTTTGCTGAGTGGAAAATTGAAAAAGAAAAACGAGAGAGATTTAAAATAAAGAATAATTTATTCGAGTTTATCAAATATTTCGAATTGAGAATTATTATACTGTCATTTATAAATTTAAATTTTTTTAATACTTTAAATTAAATTCAAAAATGTAGCAATAGATATATAAATTTAAATTTAAGAATGTAACAGTAGACGTTGTCATTATTTTTAGAATGTAAGATAATTGTACATTAATCATTGTTACCACTAATTATATAGAATTAATTAACACTATCATAATTGTGATTCAACAATTTTTGCGAAAACGAAAATGATTATTATCATGAAAATGATTATTATCATATATACTATCTATCATGATTACATTATCATCATCATCTTGTTATCACGAATTCGCGTAATTTATTTACCGTTGTAATCAAGCTTATCATCATCGCTTTCATCATATTACATCATTGTCATCTTTTTAAGGTTAATGACGTATTTCGGACAATATTTTATTTTATCCACGATTTCGGATATATTTATTTCTTAATTACATTTATTGTCTTACGTTTTAATTATTGCAGTTCAATTCCTTTTGCTTCATTCAAACTTGACAAATTTATCATCAAATGGAACAATTTGGAGTGAGCTAAATTAAATAGATTTCATAGATAACAAAATGTTTTCATAAATTTTCAATTGATAAATTTCTATCCAATATTACGAATTGCTGAATTTTCCATTTTGCATTCACCTTATGAAGACTTTGTTTAATTTTTTTAGTAAAAATTGATTGCTCAATTTAAATACCGAAGAAAAACGAAACGAATGATATTCTGAAATGAATTGTCAAATTAAAATTTACATTATTTTTAATAAACCTGATTAAGTTTAAAAATAATACTAGTGCTATACGGAGTCATTAAAATATGTTAAAGTAAATATTTGTTTTAAAAATAATTTCCAAATAATAGCTTATCATCATTTATCAATTATCATGTTGATTCTAGCGTGAAGTAATATCGATCCATATTGGACAAGCAGGTGTACAAATTGGAAATGCTTGCTGGGAATTATATTGCTTGGAACATGGTATTCAACCAAATGGCATGTTATTGGATGATCAAATGATCGCTTCTGACAGTAATTCATATAATACCTTTTTCGCGGAAGCAATTCATGGTATCATTTTCGTTTCTCGAGATAGCAATCCTTAGAAAATAAGTTTTAATTATCGATTTATTAAAATATACATTACAGTTACAATAAATACCTTACTGTTGTAGACATTAAAAAATCCAATTATTCGTATATGATAATGTAATAATTCGTTTCATTATTTAAATATGATCATTCCTGACAATATATATTGAAATTGCTATTTTCATAGTACAGTAACCATGTTATGGTATCATTTCACCTCTTTACAGTAACCGCTTTATCGTTTTACAGTAATCGTTTTATCACTTAAATGTAATCAATCTTAATAACATGAATTTGAAAAAGCGCTTCAAATTATCACGAAATTCTTTGAAGTAATTGAATAATTAATAATCATATACCGATAAATAAAAGTAAAATTTAATAAAGAATTTTTTCAGGTAAACATGTTCCACGAGCGATCTTCATTGATTTAGAACCGACAGTTGTAGGTAAATTTTTCATTGTAACATAATATAATATTTTGATCTGTCAACAAAAAAAATAACCGTAGAAATTGTTCCATTAGAAATAAAATTTTGGAATATTAAATTTTAATTTTATAAAAGACTTTAAGAAAAAGTTAAAAGCCTTGTGGAAAAATTTTCCTCTTAATAATGCATGCTTTATGATATGTTTTAAAAGTGGAAAGCATATATTTCAAAAGAGAGAAAACTTGAAACGGAAAAAATTTAATAATTAGATGAAATTCGAACTGGAACTTATCGATCGTTATTTCATCCCGATCAACTTATTACCGGAAAAGAAGATGCTGCGAATAATTATGCTCGTGGTCATTATACAATTGGAAAGGAAATTATTGATGTTTGTATGGATCGCATTAGACGTAAATATTTTCTACAAAAATTATTCATTTCATTTGTTACAAATAAGCAAATGCTTGATAAGCAAAGATAGATTTATTGATTGATTTTCATTTTTGAATTTTATATTTATTTAATAAAAATTACTATATCTTGTTTTATGCAACAGGATTACAGTTGAAGTATTGTCTTGTCTAAGCAAATGCATAAAGATGGATTTATTGATTGATTTTCATTTTTTAAATTTTAAATTTATTTAATAAAAATTACTGTATCTTGTTTTATGCAACAGGATCATAAATATTGTCTAGTCTTTGAGTTTTAGACTTTTGAAAAATGCTGCAACAGTAATATTACATTTTACCTGTTACAACAAAAATAGACTTGAAATATTACTGAAAATTATAATAATTGGTTTTTCGTTAAATTTTTAAACTTTGCTCATTTTTTAAGTTTTTCAAATATGGTAAACAGATGGAAGAAAATTTTCATAAAATTACTTCATAAATAAAAATTCATTTAGGTATGAGTGATATGTGTAATGGTTTACAAGGATTTTTAATTTTTCATTCATTTGGTGGTGGTACTGGTAGTGGCTTCTCATCTTTGCTTATGGAACGCTTATCCGTTGATTATGGCAAAAAATCGAAACTTGAATTTAGCATTTATCCAGGTTTCTATTTACCAAAAATTATAAACAGCTTTCATTGTTATTTATCATTGAGGAATTTTTTCAAAATTTTAAAATTTCTAATTTAACAAAATTACCGAATTTAACAATATCTTTATTATTATTATTATTGTTATTATTACTATTATTATTATTATCATTATTATCATTATTATTATTACAACTATTATTATTAAAGCTCCAAGAATTAGCACAGCAGTTGTTGAGCCATACAATTCAGTCTTAACAACTCATACAACATTGGAACATTCTGATTGCTCATTTATGGTTGATAATGAAGCAATTTATGAAATTTGTCGAAAAAGTCTTTCTATAATAAGGTAATTACGTTATGAAATTAATTATGCAAAGTAATTATGCAATTATATAATTTCATTATGCAAATAAAATTTCATAATTTTGGATTAATTTAAAAAAGTTAAAATTTATGTAAATTTGAAATTAGTACAAAATAAGAGAACTGAAATTTGATGTTTTAAATTTTTATTTTTAATTTCGATTAACCTATAAGAATCTTAATTAATCCAGCATAATTAGTGATTTTACTTTTCATAAATTCAATTAATGTTGCTGCTTCTCTTTTACTCTATTTTAATTAAGAAAAAATTTATATTATCTATTAAATTTAATTTCGCTGTCACTTTTTGGAATCAATCAAATCTGGAAATAAGATATATAATACTAGTTCATATATATATATTTCAAATATTTTATTATGCTACTGAAATTTGTTATTTTAAATTTTCATTTTTTAATTTCGACCAACCTATACGAATCTTAATCGTTTGATTGCCCAAATTGTCTCATCGATAACAGCATCACTACGATTTGATGGTGCATTAAATGTTGATTTAACCGAATTTCAAACAAATTTAGTACCATATCCGCGGATACATTTCCCGCTTGCTACATATGCTCCAATTATTTCCAGGTAATAATTAGAAAACATTTTTTGAAAAAAAAAATTGTTTAACAAAAATGTTATTAAATGTGTAGTACCAATAAACTGACATATAATGAAAATATTTGGGTAGACGGATTTTTTAACAGATATTTTTTGATACAGTAAGATATAACACGCTATCTACCATCAACTGAAATGATAAGCAAGTACGGTGCTGTATACTGTACTTTTTTAAATATATCTTTTTATACAATGAGTACTTTAAATTCGATTTATATTCGAAATAGTATTGCTACATCGAAATGATAAAGTAATATGTTGCTGATATAAGTGACATAATTAAATCATCGGAGTAAATTTCGAAATCTTACAAATTTAAAAATGTAAACTTTAGTGAGCGTGTTTTCCACGAGCGACTAACGGTATCTGAAATAACAAGTCAGTGTTTTGAGCCTGGTAATCAAATGGTTAAATGTGATCCGAGACAAGGAAAATTTATGGCATGCTGTTTACTTTTTAGAGGTGATGTATTGCCTAAAGTACGTAGGTTATTTTGCTTTCATTTTAGTATTTCTATTTTTCTTTAAAACAAAAGAAAGAAATTTTTAACTTGGCAAATTTTGATACTTATATTTCTTTTTTATGGCTTATGACCTAGAATACTTCAAATATATTATATTTAATGGATCAAATTTATAAGCTAATAAAATTTAGACAGGTAGATATAAAAGTTAGTAGTTAAAAATCTTATTTACTTAAAGGATGTTAATGAAGCTATAGCATTAATAAAAACGAAGCGTTCAATTCAATTTGTCGATTGGTATGTTTTTATTTCAACGATTTTCTTTTGTTTTTAGAATTTACTTCTTTTTTCGAAATCATTATACATTGGTGATAAATTTGCACTTATCACATTGAACTGATTAATTAGGTCTAAAGTGATAATTTTGATTTTCTTTTCATTAACTGAATTCGTCAATAAATTAACGAATTATATTAATAAATTCTATAAATTAAAAAATTAGGATGAAATTTTTTGTCTTCTAAATTTTACTATAAATTTAGGTGTCCAACTGGTTTCAAAGTTGGTATCAACTATCAACCACCGACAGTTGTACCTGGTGGTGATTTAGCAAAACTTCAACGAGCCGTTTGTATGTTAGCTAATACAACGTCAATTGCTGAAGCATGGGCTAGACTTGATTATAAATTTGATTTGATGTATGCAAAACGGGCCTTTGTTCATTGGTATATTTAATTTAACCATTCCTTTTTTAACAACTTCAAAACTATCATGATAAATCAACTTGAGTATTTTTTTGAAATTTTATATTATTAAATTTTCTTATCACCAAATTAAATTTTTTTTATCACTAAAATTTATCATTAAAATTTTTCAAAAATTATTTTCATATTTGAAAATTTTCTTTGTACATTTGATTGAGCTATATAAAGGTATATTGGCGAAGGAATGGAGGAAGGAGAATTTGCGGAAGCACGTGAAGATCTGGCAGCATTAGAAAAAGATTATGAAGAAGTAGCTGTGGATACTAATTTTTGGTGAATTTTAATTGAACTATGGAATGCATTCTTTATTACACCGTTAATATAATTTAAATTAAAGAATTGAATTTTTTTTTAAAGCATATCTTAAATTCTTGTATTTAAATTATAAGCTATAATTATTTTAGGTATGCATATATTGTTTCCCAAAATGTGTTTATATCATTTAAAAATATCCTAAGATCATTTTTAGAAATTGAAATGATTTTTTATTAAAGTCTAAAATGAAATATAAAAAAATGTAATGCGTAGTTTTCTACGACAAATATTTCCTTTATTGATTTTTTTATCAATAAAAAGTTATCCTATCTGTCAGCATTTTTAATATTTGGATGATAATTTATCAATAATAGTTTAGCTATATGAAACATTCAAAGGACTGTATTTTTAATATTTAATGAAATTAAGTCAAAAAAGATGAAATAGTTTTTAAAGCTTATCCAAAAGATAATTTTATAGTTAATGATAATGCTCTTGTGATAATTGCTGCCATTTAATTGCTTCGATTCTACTTCTATAATCAAATATAAAAGGTTAATTAGAAATTAAAAGGCCATCTAAAGAATTTAAGCAAAACCCTTAACCATCCTCTTTTCTTTATTTGAAAAAATTCCTTTCTCTTTTTTCTGCATGCTTTAGTAACATATCATAGATGTTGTTTACCTGTTTGATATACCAACAGGTAACTAACTGTTAGGCGTTTTTTTACACAGAAATATATCAAAAAGTCTGATTTGCAATTTTGCTTTTTTTGTATCATAAATAAGCATTATCATTTAATTCTAGTAGATGATTCGAGTAGTTTAAATAATCCTATCATAGAAATTCTAATAGTTTAAATTCTAGTAGTTTAAATAATCTTATCAAAGAATTAAACAATCGAAATCTACAAGCCCATTATTAAAATACATATTATATCTTCTTTATCTTCAAGTGAAAGAATTTTGATATTATTTTTGACTCTTTCTCCTTGTATTCTTTGTATTACAACATCTAATTGATAGGACCAAATAAATTTTAGTTTAAAATTTGATGAATGAAATATTTATTCTAATAACTTGCGTTTTATATTCCTCTCACTTCATTTTAAATACAATAAGAAATCATTGAAATTTTTAAACTAATCTTTTTAAATCATATAAGCAAAATATTGAAATATTATGAAAGCAATATGTATACCTGAGATCAAATTACGAATTAAGATATCCTTTTAACTAATCATAATATTAATATCATAATATTAATATCAATACTAGTTATTAATATCAATACTAGTATCAATATATTAATATCAATACTAGTATCAATATATTAATATCAATACTAGTTATTATAGATTATTAGTACAAATAAATTACTTAATTGTCAAACTCTGTTCTATTTTTGCTACTTTGTTAATTAGTATTGTGAAATTAGTTAATGAGCTCTATTTTAAAAAATTATGCACACATATGAATATGCATGTCATTATCAGAGCTTTTTCATTTTTAAATTATAGTTAAAAAAAGAAATATTAATCTTCGATCATAAGTTGAATAATTTTTTTTTAACATTTCTTTCATATTCATTCTTTCTACGTTATTTTACGATATTTTGACAATATGATTTGTGTTAATTATATCAAAATGATGATGGATTGTATTACTTTGACTGGGTCTAATAGCTAAATTTATAATTGAAAAACATAGCTGATATTTCTGAAGGAATTCTGAAAAAATTATATGGAAAAATTTATGCTTTATTATTGTCTAATTCATTTGAATTCATAAAACTATTAATGAAGAATTAATTTAACAATGCTTTTATCTTTTCCCTTCTTTCATTTATTACCTGCAAGTGAATATTATTCCCTTTTTTTATTTATTACCTGTAAATAATATTATTGATGAATAAATATAATACATTCATACCTTATCTTTTCCCTTCTTTCATTTATTACCTGCAAGTGAATATTATTCCCTTTTTTATTTATTACCTGTAAATAATATTATTGATGAATAAATATAATACATTCATGCCTTATCTTTTCCCTTCTTTCATTTATTACCTGTAAGTGAATATTATTCCCTTTTTTATTTATTACCTGTAAATAATGTTATTGATAAATAAATATAATACATTCATGCTTTATCTTTTCCCTTCTTTCATTTATTACCTGTAAATAATACTATTGATAAATAAATATAATACATTCATAATATTATGATATTATGTCAAATTCATTCACATAAACTATGCAAGATATGAAATTATCGCATATTTAAACTTCTACAAATATTTCAATAATTATCTTTCACCTTTTTAATTAATTTCAAAAATTTATTTTTCAAAATTTAATATTATCTGTTATATAAAACATTTTTAGGTTTTCTATCGAATTGCTAAACTCTTTTTTCTCAGTTATAAATTTCTTTAATTTTTATTTTTCTAAAAAAGCTGCTGCTATCGTTGACATTAAATCTCTTCTTGGGTGTCACAAAAGAGAAGCTTTATTATAAAACAAAACTAGAAAGATGGAAAATTAGAGAAGAAAAGGAAAAAAAAGGGAAGTAAACAAAGAAGTAAAGAAGTTTTTCTAAATTAATGTCTTTAATGTTGATAGATTTTGAAAGCTTTTTAGCTAAAATTTTCATATATTTAAAGAAATTTATCAATTCATAAAATATTTTATTAAATAGAATGCAATAATAATAATTAATTAAAAGTGAAATTAAATGAATTTTTCTTTTTTATGTTTTAAAAGAAATGGCCTTAAAATTTTTTGTAAAGAAATGGCCTAAAAACATTTTGTAAAGAAATGGCCTAAAAATTTTTTGTAAAGAAATGGCCTAAAAACATTTTGTAAAGAAATGGCCTAAAAATTTTTTGTAAAGAAATGGCCTAAGAACCTTTTGCAAAGAAATGGCCTGAAAATTTTTTGTAAATAATTTATTTGCATAATGCTATTAATGCATTAAAGTAGATTTTCGAATATTTTATTTAAATTTAAATTTCTACAATAAAATATATATGAATTTCAAAATATAATAAGTTGAACAAAACTGAACAAAATTTTGCAATTAAAAATTTCTTATTTTCATTATTATTTTTTAATTACAAAATATTGCTAATTCGTAATTTTTTAAATTTAAAAATTTATAATTTATATTTCAAAATTTTATTTAAAAATTTTCTACAGTGTTTATACCATATAATTTAAATTGTTTTAATATTTTCAATAGCAACATTAATTTATTTTATCCATTATTAAATTCCTCTCATGCAAAATGAAAAATAAAATCCTTAATTCAAATTAATTTATACTCGAATACTTAAATAAAAGCACTAAAAGAAACATTTATAATTCAAATATGTTTATTTTTCTCTTCAATTAATTTGAATTATAATTAAATTAAAATAATTATAAAACAAAGAATTAAATTTGAATTAAAATATCAACAGAATTAAAAAATCAAACTATTTTAGTGAAATAAATTCTAAAAAAAGAAACGAACAAATTTCGATTTGAAATATGAGCAGAATGCTTTTGTGTGTATATATATATGTGTGTGTGTGTGTGTGTGTGTGTGTGTGTGTGTGTGTGTGTGTGTGTGTGTGTGTGTGTGTGTGTGTGTGTGTTTGTTTGTTTAATTCATCAATTCACTAACAATTCAAATCGATATTTGAAACAATCAATTAATTTCAGATTCAAATCGATATTTAAAACAATCAATTAATTTCAGATTCAAATCGATATTTAAAACAATCAATTAATTTTAGATTCAAATCGATATTCAAAACAATCAATCAGATTCAAATCGATATTTAAAACAATCAATTAATTTCAGATTCAAATCGATGTTTAAAGCAATCAATTAATTTCAGATTCAAATCGATATTTAAAACAATCAATTAATTTCAGATTCAAATCGATATTTGAAACAATCAATTAATTTCAGATTCAAATCGATATTTAAAACAATCAATTAATTTCAGATTCAAATCGATGTTTAAAGCAATCAATTAATTTCAGATTCAAATCGATATTCAAAACAATCAATTAATTTTAAAATTTACCAAAAAAAAAATTGAATTAAATAAAATTATATTCGTTTTGCGAAAAATTCTTTTTTCCATATATAAAATCAATATGTTGCAATGAAATTTTTATTTCAATCATTTTTACATATATCATGCAAACGTGCAATTTTATAATTTCAATCATTTTAACATTTATATATTGCAAATATGTAATTTCTAATTCAATGCATGCATGCATGCATGTATACATGCATGCATGCACACACATTCATACATTCATTTTCAAAATACAAATTGATTTTTATTTTTATAAACAAACTTTTTTTTTTTGTTCACATCATTTTCTGTCACATATATATGGAATTTAATGAGAGATGATGACAGAACGAAATGTGACAGTATAGCGGAAGCTTATCGTTTTAACCCAGCCCTGTCATTTTATTCGTGTCTTTCATGGTTGTCACCAACATAACCAACATCATCATCATCATCATCAATACTCACAATTTTTCCTTTTTGAATTGCATATGATTTTTAATCTATTTGTGTATCATATCACATATCATATCATATCATATGTTATTGCTCGTTTATTATTTACTCTTTCATTTAATAATAATTCAAAGTTCTTCCTTTAGATAATTTCAAAGTTTTTTTTTAATATTAAATTAAACTTATTTTCGTTGTGTATCTTATCATATCATATCATATCGATCTTATTGCTCTTTTATTGTTAACTTTTTCATTTAATAATAATTCAAATTTTTTCCTTTAAAAAATTTCAAAATTTCATTTAAATATTAAATTAAATTCATTTTCGATTCTGTAATTGTTTTAAATTTGTTTTCGTTGTGTATTATATCATATCATATCATATCGTATGTTATTGCTCCTTTATTATTTACTCTTTCATTTTTATTATATTAACATATTAATTAATAGATATTTTAATAAATTGTTTTTCCATTTTAATAAAAAAAA